TTGTAAAGGTCATGTTATTTGTAATACCTCAAGAGGTATAAAAGAGCTTGGTTTTAGACCAAGTGAGAATCATCATGGAATCATGTGAATAATGTTAATAACAAATAATAATAATTGAATAAATAATTTCCCCCCATTGTTAATAATTAAACAAACACATTTTACCTTATTATTACGAATTTTTGCATAGTTAATAAGAGAAGCTATTGTGAATTGTTCCATGGTCCTCTCTGATGATTAGTGGCTGGCCACTAATCATTAGTTAGAAACCCCCCCCCATTTGATTGTTCTATGCTGCTTGTAGGGACGCCTCAAGTGGTATAGTTGTAAATATTTCTTGTATGTATTCTTTTTTTATTTTATTTTATTTATCATTGTTAGGCTTTTGCCAGCCGGTACTTCTATTAGTACGGCCAAGAGAGATTGCGCAATCGAATTTGAGTAGGCTCCTAGCTGTGTGCGGAGACGGAGGCCTTGGAATTTGAGAACCCTTAGCTGTGTGCAGAGATAGGGAGATTTATATATTGGACTTTTATTTATTTATTACATATATATTTATTGGACACAACCCGAGCTGTAATTGTATTTACACGCTCGCACTATATAGATTTTTTTTTGTTTTATATATGCCATGTATACTATTTTCTAATAAAGATGATAATAAAAACCGAAGTTAGAAAATACTATTATGGTACATGTCATCTAGTCGAATAAACTATATAAAAAAAAATTTTTTAACATGAATGAATACGGAATTTAACATGATAAAAAAAATTTTTAAATAAACAATATTATTGTTATTATTTTTTTTTTTGATCTAGTATAATGAATTTTTTGGATAATTTTTTTATTAGGACGTCCTTTAGTTTTTACTTTCAATGGATTTTTGATCACATTATCATTATCATCTTTCTCATTTCTCTCCTTGTTTGTTAATTTTAAATAGACTTCTTCAAGTGCGTTATCTAATAATTGATATTTCTTTTTATCTTCATTTGCAAAATTTGTGATCTTCCTAAATTTATCAAAAGCTGTAATATAGCCAGAATTTTTTCTTTTATCTTTTATATTTATAATTGCTGGTGGATTTATTTTCAAGAATC